TTTTTTTTCTCCTGTTTTTATGTAAAATATTAATGCTTCTTTTATCAAACTCGAGTAAACCGAACCTTAAATAAAACTTATACAGAGGAGGAAGTGATAAGGATGTTTCTTTTTATCGTGCAATTCCCATTTCACTTAAATTGCCAGTTCCGAACTAAAAAAAATTGCATATTCAATGGGAAGGAGGCCGTATACTTAGAGAAGGCAATAATAGGGTGCCTTCTTTATTTACGAACACTTTCGATATCCAAGACAAGGGTCGTTTTCTTTTACATAGCATGAATAAATAATGGTCCAGCAGAGGCAGTTTGTTCATGTATATATGTTTCTTGTCTGTCTCAATAAATGTAAATAGGTATGGATACCAGTTAGAACAAAGTCCGGCGGCATCTATTATGCCCTTCCATTTTATCTTGGAAGAGAATTATGGCTCGCTCTTTCTTTTAAAATGAATTTGTCATTATTTAATTTTCTGATTGTTCTCATTGATATTCTAGAGGGTACTGAGATAAAGCTTTTAATTAGCATTTTTGACTAAAAAAGTCAAAATTCTTCCGAAAACTTTGCATTTACTAAAATGATGACATAATTGAGAGATCTGTCATTTCTATCGACGTGAATGTATAAGCTGTGATATTCAGCAACTGTATAATTTTACCTTCAGCATCAATTTGTTTTAGTTATATTTAAAAGTGATACACTTTTCAAATCGATAATTGGCTTTTATTATGCAACTTTAATAACCGCAGGAATCATCTATTCCTTTGCCCGCCTACGACTTTGTTATTTTTGAGATCTCACGAATCATAGAAACTTCCTTAAATTTCCCTAAGTTGTTGTCCTTTATATTTTTCATTTTTTTCATTTTTTTATTGTTATTAAGGAACACAGGATTTCAATTTAGGAGAAATCGGAATTAAAATAAAAAGTCAAGCAACTATGCAGTGTAGAATTTGCTGTACGCCAGTAAAATATCAGATATTATAATCTATTCAGATCACACTGAGCTTAACAGGGAAACCGAAAGTTTGTTTTGGGGCGTTTACGCTAAATATAGATACCAACGTCGTCGGGATTTTTCCCTTGTGTTTGCGTATTTAAATTCATTTCTCATTGTTGTGCACGCTTAATACAACCGGCCATATGAAAAGGACTTATTTTGCTCATATAACGAAAACGTTGCTGTTCATTGAAGTGAAGAAAAAAGTCAGTGTTTTGGATTTATTCGACCAAACTCGTAAGTAATCCGTCATGTTCGTATTTTCGTCGTTGTGTATTGATAGGTCCATGCGCTTCGTCGCTTTCGAATTAGCCGAATAATTCATACTGCCAGTGTAATAATCCCCACAGTCTTCAAACCAATACATATCACATATTTTCTGCCTACCCGTACGGCTACAAATAAAAAAACCGTTTTTGTCTTAACGTTTTCCGTTTATTGGTGTTTTAGTTGCACTCAC